ATATATATATATATATATAATAACTTGATATCTTGAAATTAAAGATCTGCTTGTATAAAGTAATATTATAGTAGTTGTTATCGGCAAAATTCTCGTTAATCTCTAGATTTCGATCCCCGAGAAATATTACATTTCAGACTTTCGTTAAATAAAATTTCGATTAGATATGCGATTGCTACCATGAAAATTAATATTAAGAGTGATTATTAATATTATCTAAATGTAAAAATATATCATTACGTATATATACGTGCGTCTACTATCTTCAATTTTTTCATTCCGATGGAATAAAAAGCCACAAATGATTGAATCTAAAATTCAGAATATTCAGATTTAATCGAGATGAATCAGATTTAAAAATAAACGGAAAAAATATTACTTTAAAGAATCATTTATCAAATTCGCTGTTATTCTGTTCTTGTGCAATTTTTACATAGTGATGAATGTAAAAATTTTTTTTTCCCATATATATGTTTTTAACATGAGTCATCCATTCAGTGAGAGAAGACGTCATTTCAGATACCGTTTCGTTCTCGCCAAAGATATCATCATTTCAGATTGTAAAATGAAGTTCATAAATGTATATGATCATAAAAAACCTTTTTATATTCTATAGATTTTTATTTATAACGGTTTAAACTTTCTAAAATACCATTTATCCAGATACGGTGAATACTAAGGTCAGCTAGGTTCTTCAGATATCTTTTTTTTAATAATAACTAAGAAATAACATGACTTTACTTAATTCAAGTTATTATAAAAACTCCCTAATAATAGTTGTTTTGCTTATCCCTACGCAATTTACTTAACATATATTGTGTAGCTTAGAATTCAAATTTGATTGAAGAATTATGTATATAAAACACATACATTAATTGTTATCTATTAAAATACATTTCAAAATAAACGTGATAAAATATAAATTTAATTAAAATATAAGAAATTAAAATATAAGAAAAATACAGAAAATAGAAAATAGATTTAATTAAAAAGCAATAAAAAAATATAGAAAATAGAAAATTATATATTAAATTAAATTATAAATCAAAAATATCAAATTGTGAATTAAATTAAATAGAATAAGGAACTACAAATTATAAATTAAATAAAAATTAAGTGAAATCTAACGCAAATATGTCTCAAGTGGGCTTTAATTATTAATGTTACAACAACAAATTAGCAGTTTACAAATAGTCGAACCTTATCATATCTATGATGATAGTACAAGTTCTAGCGATCTTGAAGGAAAAAAAAGATCGCAACAATTCGGCCAATTGATCAATACGGACGAAGAAAGAATTGATCAATATTATATATATTCGTCCAAGATCTCGGAATAATTTCTAATATTGTGGACACAAGGACACTTAAAAAGAACAGTAATTTTTATTCTTGGAGCAAATAAAGATAATTTAATCAATTTCCGATTAACTTATTTATAGAACTTTATTTAATTTCGTTTGATTTAATTTTTCTTTCTACATTTTGAACAACATAATTCCATCCATGTTAATAAAAAATAGTACAGATAACTCAAGTTAATCATTGAGTATATAAATTCAGAATTAAATTTGCCAACGGTCTTCGAGTTACAGTCGCTGCGAATTATAATAGTATTTATTTAACGGTAAACAGTTGCGAATTTTTAACTTTGTACATGTGACTTTCGTAAAATTGTCTGGTCTCCTCGGCACAAGGTCACGAATATTAGATAATATGTTTACCATAATTATCGATATCAAACAGCGGTTCCATTCCATGGGTCAATTAATCGATACTGCTGTGTATCCCTCGATTTTCGCCAATTTGTCTTGAATCTCAGATAGCCAAGCGAGATTTAGCATATTGATGCATGTATTATTTTCAATTTGTCGACAATTTGCTATCATTGGAATCTAATGTGAACTAAGTTAGCATCAGGAGGGCAAATAGATTTCATGAGTTTATGAAATTGTAAGAATATATATTGAGGAATAATAAATTCATCACGTTGACAGCAAACTGATATGGCATGCACACATGATAATAACTTGCCAGCAGTTTGCTGAATTCTAAGGAAGACTTTACGTGACATCAGAACAACAGACAGTTTGTGGAAACATCTTGGCTTTAGTTTGGTGAAATTGAATACAGAATAAATGACAGCAAATGGCAATTGCCCTTATTTGGTTATCTGAGATAACACAATCGATTCTTAAATTTGTTTGGCAAACATTGCCATATTTCCGCTAACATATGCGGTTCGCGTGAAAGGATGACTGGTAGAATTGCATTGTGCGGCATTAACCAATTCGCAAGACGAATTCCCATTATATTACCACAAGTGTAGATTAATTTTAATCTTGCGGTTCAACTTACTTTTTATCTTTTCCTAGTTCTAAAAATTTGAAAAGAACAAAAAGTAAATTAAACTAAAATTAAAGTTAGCCTATTTTAATGGAAATGAACATTTAATCCTATTTATAATTTAAGCCTTAAACTATGTTCAGATTTTCACCCAGTGTTACCAAAGTATCATTTTAACTAAATATTAACCCTCAATTTTTGGCATTTTCATTACATACATCTTTCGCGTTTTGGATTCATTTTTATTACTTTTACAAGTATATAAAAATTATTAAGCAATTTTTATATATATATTAACATCTTTAGAAAGTTGTATTTATAATAAATTATTATATAAAACTATTGTATATAATGTTGTATATACAAATTAAAGAAATGCGCAGGACACGAATGACCCAAAGATATGTATTATATATAAAGGAAAATGATATCGAAAGATGGGAATCTAAAAGCATCCTTAAAATAACGGCAGAAATATTTTCCCTTCCGAACAGATTCAGATGTCCATCAATAGGTTTCCAAAAATACCCATAAAATTACATATTATCTCTACTTTGCTTTTACTAACGTTTTTATTCTATCACTCTCCATTAATATACTATTTTTACTCCTTTCGAAGCTCATGAGAATTTTAAAGAATTTGGCACAAACACTATATTCGTATCAGAGACCGTGACATGAATTTACGCAGTACACTTCATGATAAATCATTCTTCGTTATATCGTCGTACTTACACCAGTGTACAGAATTGGAGGGTTTGTATCCGGCGCCGGCAAAGCCGCAGACGAGTAGCGTCGCAAGCAATGAAAGCTCTTTAGCACGCGCAACATATCGCAACGAGATGTTCCCTCGGTTCGGAAAGTGACTGATCTGAGTCAGCTCAGTCAGCCAGTTCCTTGCTGGCCCACGCCGACCTTTTCTCCCGCTCCACACAAACGAGAGCTGTAGTAATTCGTTCTATCCCCTCGAATGCGCGTGCTCTATTCTACTTATCGAGCTCAACAAACGACTAGTAACATTATGATTATATCATATCAACACATCTCTTACATTCTTACACAATTTAACAACGATCGCGCAGTTATGACCGACCATTAGAAAAGTCATAACTGATGTTAATTAATACCGATCGATAATGGCATCAATTTTAATGAACAACTAAAAACTAAAGTATTCATAATCTGTTATTTCGTAATGTCTCAAGATGATAATATAGCTTTGTGATTAGTCCACGACAGTAAGATTAATCAAAAGATTTAATATAAAAAGAAGACTATGAATCAACTTTGGAATATAGAAAAAGAAGTCAAACTCTGAAAAGCCCCGTGGAAAGTCAATTTCAAAATATTCACGAATAATGAATTTATCGTACATGCATTTTCTATACAAAAAATTAAACAGTAATACATAGGAGTTAAAAAACATTACAACTGTATAAACAAGAGTAGATTTTAAGAAAAAAATATTACCGATAATAATTTAATAATAATTACAAAAAATATTTAGGATGTGTGTCTAAACTTGTTATTACGATAATTTTATTAAGATAAATAAATGTAATAAAAGAGAAATTGTATATACATGTGTATGTGTATATATATATATATATATGTGTGTGTGTGTGTGTGTGTGTGTACATATACATATATACACACATACCCAAAATAAAAAACAATATAATCAATTATATAATAAAAAAATGTGTCTGTGTAAATGTAAATTACTCTAACAAGTCCAATAAATATTCGTTAGAAATTATAACTGAAATAATGTACATAACATAATTATGATTAAAATGATGATTCAATGATAATTCTAAAAATAATTCATTCATTCTTAGACTTCGTGTCAATTAACCAAAGACCAGTTTGATCCTTGTATATTTATTTATTATATTTATTTCTCTACCATTTAATCAACTAAAGAGGTAAAAAAGAATCAATACGTATTTTTTACGTAAAATCAGTATATAAATTTTTAAATAATCAATTGATGTATCACTGATTATTCATTTTTCATAACAAAAAGTAATAATTACAGTTGTACATGTACACAGACCTTTTATTTCACGTATGAATAATTATTTGGCGTACTCTAAACATTTCTTAATTTTCGCGCTATATGCATATTTCATCATCTTTTATTCTTACAAGTTTATAAATTCTATCAAATAGGATTAATACGTTTTCTTCTTTTGGATTCACGATCATTCTCCGTCGTCTGATTTCTTTTCTGTGGTGCTTTTGAGTTCGTAGACTGGTCATGTAAATTCCCATTTTGAATGAATTCTGTCGTGTCTTCATTTTCTGGTAAACTGACACTGCTAAAATTAAATGATTCTATATCTTGAGACATAATTTTCGCGCGTAATTCACGCGCTTCTTTCTTCAGTAATTGTTTCTCCCTTTGTTTATTCTTATTCTTTCTTCTCTTTTTCTGTTCGTTATTATTATGTACAGCCTCTTTTTGTTCTTCTTCTTCTTCTTCTTTTTCTTCTTCCAAATCACTTGTTTTTCCGTTTTGAAATCCGATAATGCTTTGTTTGCCATTACTTTGTGAAACAGTATCATTCGAATTATTTAACTTAGTATTATTCTTCTTTGATGGCCTAATGATAAATTATATCAAATAAATAATATAAA